GATGTGGCCTCATCACACTTGCCAGTCACCCCGAACCCCTCTCTTTCAATCGGCTGATCCGACTCGGGCCTCCAATCCGAGTCTACTGTTTGATGCTGGGAATCATGAAAACTACTATGGCAGACGACTTCGGACTAGGTGCGTTCTACTAATTCGCCCTGACAACAAGACCAAGTTGCGACAACGAGGTCAACCTAGTTATAAATCTAAAGGAGACTGCGACCATACCAGAGGCCACAATAACTTGGTCTTCATATCTTCAAAGATAGGTTAAGCTACTAAGAGAATTCCAGGTCAGTTTGTTAACTTCTTATCAGAACTCGATGTCCGTTAGTCTTAGGCATCAGATCTTTAAGCTTATTTTTTCGATATTCGGTGCGTAGTTGTGATAATGATTATTCCCGCAACTGATTTCATTATGCAGAGTCTCTCATTGAGTGTCTCGTTGAGGCTGATTGCCTCATCATCCAGGAAGGACAGCCAAGTTTGTTGATATGATTTAGGAATTCTTTTTAATTTGCCTTAGCATGCGAAAAAAGGGCAGGCTAGTCATCGGGATATCGCACGATCACGCCCGATTGCATTGTTGACTTATCGAATTTCTTTTATTATTTGTCCATGAATACGTTTGCTAAAAAAGACGAGAGTGAAGATCCAATTGGTCGTCCAATACGATAATACGACAAATTTGCGATAACGGTGTGGACCACTTCAATATATTCATAAGCTTGTTCTACCTATTTTATATGCTGTCTATTGGATCATATACATGTCCTTTGTGGATTAAATTAATCGGAGTAATTAAGAGAATGATGTTTGATCTTGTTGTATAAAGTTGCAATTTTCTGTGTATTCCAAAAATACTCTCGAGTTAGTATTTGCTGTATTTACTAACTTTTCTTATATATCTTCCAAATACAGCTCAAGGACCTTACATAACTATATCCCGTTCTGTATAGAAGTCATTTTTCAATAGCCTGGCCCCATTAAATTATAGCTATGTGTTAAGCCTCACAGTAACTTCACGTTTGGAGCCAGCTTTCTGCTTAATAAGAAGTTCATATCTCGTTTGAGGTCTGAGTAGCATCTTTAATAATTAGACAGTTTATTCATCAATAGCCTTACGATGAATAAGTTTTATAAAAATGAAGATCGTATCTTCCATCGAACATTTCCTATTGGATAGTTTGGGACCAATCGGACGCATGGTGAACATATTTTTCACTTCCTATACTTTCCTCGTGAAGACTGTTTGTGAGAAATAAGCCCTTTCTATGCTGATTTATAGATAACTTGATCTGTGATATTGCCTTAGCTTCTGGGAAGCCTAGACCAGCCTTGAACCACACTATTTTCTCTATATTTAATGGCATTTATAACCTTTTGCGCAACTACGTTTAAGAATCTTGCCTTTATGGATTATCTATGGAGGACGGCTCGCATACGGCATATGTTAACTGCTTTTACAGCATTTTGTTGACCAAGCAAGTTAAGAGCCTAAAACTCTAGTAGATGTTTAGCCTTGTTTTCACAACTTCGTTAGATTGGCAGGAAGACCTAGAGGAACGCACCTTGTCCGGAGTCCACTTGTCTCTTTGATGAGTTTTTGTTTAGTGCTGAGAATGGCAAGACGCACTGAAGATACCGGCGAAACATCTGGGAATGTACCAAGTCAACGGTCTGACTGTAAATTATCATGTATACTATGGACTCCGGATAATGTGCGTTCCTCTCGATCTTCGTTCAAATATGGCCAAGTGGTGAAAGCTAGATCAAACAAATATGTATCGAAAGGAGACTGTAACCAACAAAGAGGCAATAACATTTTGGTCTTCATATCTAATTACTCTAGTCTATAATATTAGACAAATACCATTTAACTATAGCCACTAAATGACTGTCATAGAAATGAGAAGTGTATATACCGTCATTTATTTTCTCAGCCTTACCTCAACAAGAAAGACTCATTAATTGGCAGTGTTACTTACATATTGTATTCTATTTTTGTGTAAATAATAATGCCTGATCATTTCTATCAAGCTAAATACATACGTAACAAATTTACTGATATTGCGAATAGATAGAATTGATACTCACGAATGCTCCATACATATAAAAAGAACGTTTTCTGTCTTGCTATACCTTTAACTGCTTTTAATTGGGTCATAATAAAATATATTACTAATTCTGGTATTCTATTTTGATTTTTACAGTCAAGGCGTCATCTCGAGTCTGCCTTGGTGGCCAGTGCTCTGATTGAGTCTGGCCTCAGGCCTGTTTTCCGTTTCACTCGCGTTCGCTTTGTGCGCTGTTGTCGTCCCCCCAACTACTCGAGATGTCACAATCTTCCACTAGCACCTGTTGAAAAAGCAGCCTCGCCTCCGAATGAAGCGCTGAACCGCTGTCCTTCGTTAGAGGGAGACGCTGACATCACGACGTCTGTGTCTGGTCGCTACTATGATCCCAGCAGCACTTCGGCCACCAAAACGGAGATAGACGGAGATACGCTGAAACTGGATGTTAGCATAAAACACATTTTTTGCATCCGTCATCGAATAAAAGCTGGATCATGCGTTTTATAGTATAGAAAGGAAATGTTTTATTATTGCTTTTTCTTGGCTTGCCTAATTTTGGCATCCGATTAATCTCCCAATGTATCATTCTTGATAATGAGTATGTTTCCATACCATCAGTATGTTTTAAATAAAAGCTGTTTTCACTTTAGGTCGCATAAGAGCTGATAATTGAAGTTCCTCCAGTAGGCGCCAAGGTGCCACTGAATTTTACCTATATTTGCCTCCAAAAATCTATTCCTATCCCGTTTATACCTCGAATAGGTGTTATCAGCACACTCAAATGGAATCGAAACTGGTTAGTGAAGCATATAATTTCAGCATGCGACCAATACGCCACATTGTAGTAGGTGCCATTGGGTGATAAGAGAAAGCTGATTTTCAAGGCAAGCCGAGCTGTGAAATTTTTCACTTTATCTTGATGGGCGTATTTTATGCTTTTGTTAAAAAATGGGCACGCATAAACGGACGTAAAATTGGGAAAGCATGCCCTTGTGCGTTTCTTGGAGTATATAAGAACTCACTCTCTAATTTGATCATTCCTGAGATTGATGTACATTTTTACAACTCTCTTAGTCTTGGTCTTTATGATAGGCGAGGAAGTAAAGGAGTGTCAATTTGGTAACAAAACAAATAAAAGCTATTATTTTATTTGGGTCATCTGGCAAAAATGGTGAGATCATAGTTATGCCTCAGAGCATGTTTTCTACGTTGTCTCGCTGAAGCCATCTTGTATTTGGTGTATTTGTTTAATATTTTTATCTCTTGTTTAGTTGAATTAGTAGTATATCTAAATATAAAAGCCGATTAATTCGCTTAAGTAGGGAACCTTTTAGACCTACGTAGATATAAAGGTTGGCTGAGCATCTTCGTTTCGAGCATGATGCAGGAAATCAATTATATTTGTCTCCAACACTCCCCAGGCATCCATAGTCATAGTTTGCGTTTATTCCTATGTTTAAGAATAAATTCATTTAATCCTATGAGAGGTTATATAAATGCATTCCTCTGGATAGATTGAAAGAATGGTGCTGTAAAAGCGAATTGATTATTGGCTCCTCAGTGTCTCTAATGCCAGCATCATTGTAAAATAGTATTTACCCTATTGTTCTGCATTCTTCCTGAAAGTGAGGCAAGATTCTGGTAACACTACTGTCCTGATAAATCTACCTACACCCTTCATACCTTTTTACCACAACTCTTGACATGATTATGATTATGCAAGATATAAAAACGCCTTAAGGTAAAATAGACCTAGATCCTCAGTTGGAAAAACCAAGGTTTTTTTAGAATTTTTTGACGCTATTTTGGTGCTTCACTGCGATGCCAAACAAATTATTTTGAGGATTATGTAAACTTAACGAGCCATGGTTTTTCTGGGCTCTCTTTATTAATCAAGGTTTTACTTGTTTTGGCAATCTAGACCTTGCTTACAATCAAATGGATTGTTTTGTCAAATTTTGAATAACAAATAGGTGGAAGATCACCATAAGCATGTGGACGTTTTATAACATGACGGATCATTTGCTAAATTTTATTCTGTGATTCCCAATTTGTAGCCCCTTTATTATGGGACTAGAGACTCGCCAAAATTTCTGGGTAATCTTTTTTAAAGTGTTCTATTATTTTAGATTATCAGATATTTGTAGCCTATTCAAGCGATAGGCGTAAGTTACACTTTTGGATTATAATTTGAGTAATTGAAAAAATCATTGGCATAATTGGCCAATTTATTGCGAGTGTTTTTCGGAGGTATTTGATCTATCTTATCTCTAAACTATTGTTGTATATAAAATAATTTGATTTTTTTTAATCATTTTGTTCCCAGAGCATTTATTTCCTATTTGCCTTAGTTAACTTGAAACTCATTATTTTTGCATATTTTCGCATTCCTTTTTGTTTTCTTTCTTAAAGGATATTAACGAATTTGCACTTACTGCCGGAGCCTCCACCAACGACGATTATGCCGTTCACACGGTTCAATTCAGTGCAGATGGGCAGTCTCTGCTTGCAGGTGCAGAGAACACTTCAATTCGAGCAAGTCTACGCATACTCTTATTGATTACGCTTGACTCAAATAAACACCTTCACTGCTTAAAAATATGTGTAATTAACACAAATATGTTATAATCGATAATAATGTGTTGAATGTATGCTCGATCTGGATGTTCGAAGGTAGGCCTAGAAATTAAATATTTACAGCATAATTGTATTGTATGTTACTTGCAAATTCTGCAGTATAGTTAATAAGGCATGCAATTATAACAACTAAGATTAACATCTTTACTTCGTATACTACTCCGTTACTTCCTCCCCATCCGAACGACTCCTTTCTTAATCTCATATCCATTTTTTTATGCATAGATATATCTCTATTTCCTCATTTAGTTAATATCCACTACAGATGGTCAACAAAGGTTGCTTAATCGTCCTTCCAAATGGCGCCTTGGTATGCCAATTACCTGCCTGCGCTACATGCCGCCAAACCTTGCCTGGGTAATCGGTTGTACACCACATGGGGATGTATTTGCATTTCGCCCTCAGTGTGAGGGCTTTGAGACTCTTTTTAAAGGTTAGCCCAAAGTATAAACGTTTCCACTAAAAATTTAATATCACTAGCAGATCTGGACAATAATTAATCTATCTTTATAGTTGGGGTCTGGTCTCGTTTTCGCAACTTAATCGTGTTGCCAAGGCGACTTATTTGGACGCACCTTGTCCAAAGTCCTCTGCTATAGTAGTTGTCACTATTCCCATTGTTGGGCCACTGACTTGGTACATTCTCAGAATTTTGGTCGGCATCGTCAGTAAATTCTGCCAATATAGGCACCAAGACAATTGAAGTCAATCCCTTAAACGAATTTCTGACAAAACGGTTGTGCTATCCTCTTCCTTTCCCGGCACATCTATCTACTCCCTACAGCCCTATCTCACTCCCACCATATCACAACTCCTCAATTGTTTATATTCCACTCCTCAAGAGGTGTACCCATTTTGGTGAATTTTGGTGTGACATCATCACGTCGGCTGTTTGCCTTGCCCCTCTCCCTTTCAAGTGGCTGATCCGATTCGGGCCTCCTTTTCGGCTTTGCCTCGTGGGCTTGTAGATCCGTAGAAGATAGTCTGCTGGAGTTCATCAATATCCCTGACAAGTTCCCTGTGAAGACAAAAGGGAAAAAAGAGATGGAAATAACCCCAATAATCTTAACACATCATGAACGAACATACATAAACTCATTTTTGAGGCTACACAGACTTCTAGAAATAAATGAACAATTAGTCCTTCTGGCGGATAAAGGAGGAGCGATAGTGATAATGGAAAAAGAACAATATACCTAGAAGATGGTATATATGCTGTGAGACAGGACCACTTATCGTATACTAAAGAAGGACCTAACTATGAAGATCAATATTACACTACGGGACATACTGAAAGATACCCATAGGGATGGGGAGATCGATGGATGTACAATAAATTCACTAATAACAAAGGATGCACAAGCACCACCAGCCTACGGGTTGCCGAAATTACACAAAGAAGAGGAACCACTAAGGCGGATAGTCAACAACGAGTATGGAGAAGCACACAAATTAGCAGTCTATATGTCTGAAACTCAAGGAGGTAAATGACAGATTATCAAATACAGTAAAGCATCCATATGAATTTTTTTTAAAGGATCAAAAGCATGACACTGGTAGAAACAGAATTATTGGTAAGTTTTGACGTAAAATCTATGTACACAAACATCTCTGGAGACAAGACGCTAACGACCCTATGAGAAGAGGATATCCTGGAGGCAGATATTATCAAGAGGGGGTGGTTAACACGACTAATTAACATGCCAATAAGGGCTAACTAGTTCACATTCAATGGCAGCATTTATCAACAGACATTTGGACTTCCTATGGGATTGTCGCTCTTATTTCTACTGAAAAATGTATAAATCAACAAAGTATAAGGAAATTTCAAAAAGTTACCTCTGCAACAAAGAATGTTTATACAGTGCAAAGATGACTAGTTCGTACTTTGGTAGTATGGAAGAGAAAAATAGGAGGATTTGCTTAAGTTTATAAACCAGAGTGATGAAAAAATCAAGTACACAATAGAAGTAGAGAGCGGGAGAGCTTACCTATCCTGGATGGTGAAGTCATCCGCTCTAATGAGACACATAAGAGAAGATGGTTCAGGAAGAAGTCATATACCGGGATAAAACTCAATTTTGAGTCTTATCATAACTACCGTCGGAATACTGAGCTGCATGATCATCAGAAGCCTACGATTAACGGACCAGGAAATTCTGAGATGAAGTATTGGAAAAGTTGACTTGGATATTCTTCGGCAGCGGATATCCGAAAGAACTTATGCAAAAAAGCATACGGACTGGGAAAAACCGATGACAGGACGGGTTTATGAAAGAACAATAAGAATGGTAAAATACTCTTAAAAGTAAATATGCATCCTTTTCTGCGAACTAGCTCAACAAACCATTGGCAATATTGAGAAACTGGAATAGTCAGGGGACCACGCAGGAAAAAACAAACTCTCTTCACATGTCTACCCACGCAATATGAGATGGTGGACAAATTGGATTGCTCAGGAGTTTATTGCAAGGCATGCGGGATATGCAAACAGAAATATATTAGCGAAACAGGAAGAAAAGTCAGCACATGAATCCAGGAACCTCAAAGGCTCTGCAGTAAAATGGATACCGACAGATCAAAATCAGCAGAACACATTACACAGTCTGGACTCGAGATCAATTGCAAGTCAATTGCAAGAAAAGCCTCATATGATGAGAACACAAGGAAATGTAAGATTAGGGAGGCCATTGAAATCCTTGAGGAAAAAATTTAATGAACATGATATTAGAAGAAGATAGAGTTAGCTATTACTTTGTCTATTGCCTAAGCAAACTCTGAGAAAAAAAGGATACGCGAAAATCAAAAAGGAGATACCCGGATCAAGGATCTATCGTTAACCGGACGAAAAGGGATCGCAAGGAAAAGGGGGGTGATGATATTTCGGAAATCAAGCGAGGACGTTCTCAGTAAGAGTGATCTGCTCGATGAAACAACTACAACTTTGAGGGCCTGGTGGTCACTTGACTAGGGAGACGGATAATCACAACCGTCACAGAAATTCCGCACTAATCAAATTGACTAGAAAATCACTTGAGATGCAGTATGCGAGCAGAGATAGACGTCACAGTTTACTCAAGGTACAAGAGTTTAGTCAAAGCGATGACGCTTGAAGGCAAAGCCTATTATCTGCAAGCATGTAATTCAGAGCTCCAGTTTCTCTGCTCGGTGAGGCTATATTTTACATAAAGTCGATCCAATCGCCCGAATGCCTTAAAAATTCGAGAATAGCCTGTGACTTGGGTGTGCTCAATCTCCAACTGGCAACTAAAGAGCATATAGGCTGTAAAGGTATCCAAATGCATTTTTCTTAGGACCTGGATACATTGGGATGGAGTAGGTTTCATAACCACCAATGAACTCGTATTCGTACTAGGTTGTATAAGGTAATAAAGGACTGATATTTTTATTTTACCACTGATATGAGTAGGCCTATCGGTTACATTCAATTTCACACAGCCTCGCTTCACAAAAGGCTTTATTATTCGGAGTGGACTGCAGTTTCGACATTGCCTGTTTCTCAACAGCACCCCCAAGTGGATCCGAACCTATGTATTGCAGCTTATAATTCCCGTCTGTTACCAACCCACCACACTTCTACGAGTCTCAGTGGGTAGCAGATCGGACGTGAATTTCGAGGCAAGCCAGGCCTCTCCAATATATTTTTGTAATGGGATTTTCCATTAAGCAAACTTGTATTTGCCAGAAAAATCTACAATGTTACTGGCATTCGGATTGAGTAGGTTTCGGAACTACCAGTAGCCTTTTGGTCGACTTGCTAATCTGAAATCACCACTAGACTTCAATATTTCACTAAATAAGCCAGTTTGTTAACCCTGCCTCAACGTGATAACGTATCTTTAAGTTCCGTGGTTCATAGTTCTATGCCTGACACCAATAAATCGAAAATCATGATTGAAGTCTATATTACGACCAAGTAAGAAGTGTATTTACCCTAGGTGGCATAAGATGATGAAGGGCTTTTAGTTTAATTTTTCCTACAGTGATATGAGTAGGTCTCACGATGTCAATAAATTTCACCTCGCCTTGCCTCCTACATTCTCATTCAGGGCGGACAGAACTTTTGGCCTCACATGGTTATAATCAGAAGTCAAGTCTAAGTAAAATTTAATGTCCTCGTAAGAGTTACGCATATCATTGCGAAAGCAATTCAACCATCAGTGCTTCATCCCCTCATGCGACTTATTGTAAGTGCCACTCTAACTTGGCTTTAATTTGGATTCTCATTATGATTTTAGATTTATCCGTCTCAGGCATAGAGCTAGTGACAGACGAACTTAGAAAAGGCACCTATCTTGAAGTAGCAGGCTGGCTTCCCGCTATTCTGCCATCTTTTTGCTTGGCGGTTATTTCAGAGTAGCACGACGTCGATCCCAAGGCTTTGATGTATCTACAAGTACCGTTAAGCTGCAGATAAATGTTTTCAAAGGCAGCTTATTAGCATGTTACTCACTTTAAAAACTGAAGTTATCGTCATTCTTGACTGGAGGTCAAGCGATATCAATCATTCGGCAGCTTAAACTTTAAAAATAGAAAGTTATGTTCGAAACCACAGCCAAAATCCTTTTAACAAGATAACCCATTCTTTACCTTCCTAAAGGCACCTTGTTTTGTAAACAAGGCGCCTTATCAGCAATGCTACTTTTTACATCAGCTTAGCATAAGGGAAAGAAGGCGTGCGTTGAAGGAGATCACTTAAAGAACTATATTTTAATTGTCAAGGGCATTTTAGAATTGAAATAGGACATTCTCTAAGCGATTATTATATTTTTTTGTTACAGCATTGTTAACACACAAAGCCTGATACATGAGACCAAAGTTATGGTACCTTGGCTAATTAAAAAATAATCCCATCATTTAGTCTTTACTGATTGGTAGCGCCTTATGATATCGTATATACATCCTCCCCTTTAGTACAAGTTAGAATTCCACATATTCATAATAAAATAGCACAGAGTTCTATTTCACCCCCTCTTTAGAGCGGCCTTTTGGCTGGATGACAGTGAATTTCAATGGAACATCAAGCTTTCAAGTTTCGTTAGCATTTCCTCTTTCACCATACTAATAACATTGATCCTCATTAACATCCAGATTCCTCATGTCCCCCACCGTTTGAATGCTTTCATAATTTTAGGTGATCAAAAGATTTGTGTGGCTTAAATGGTAATTTTACTGAGTGGATGCAAGGTAAGACCACTCTTCCTAAATGATTACCTTAATACAGTCAAGCCAAGACTAATAATAATTTTAAATTAATTCAGTGTATGTAGAATGTAGATTGCCCTTAAATCGATTATCAAATAAGCAAACGTTTGTCTAGTTTTTCTCGCCGACAATTACGAGATTTTATGTTTAGTTCACATATTTGCGAAACCCATTTCTATAAAATAATAAAAAATGCACACTAGAATACTGTGGCTAACGGAGCAAGATAAGGGATGATGCAGAAATTCATTGTAGTTTAGTTACTCTTATCATGAAGGAAGAAGAAACTAGCATAGGTGAGAACTTTAAAATCACGCTTTATCTCTTTAGAGTATGAAATTCCTATCGGCAATTAATAAATTTTAGTGAGTGAGCTTTCTTTTATATTTTGGAATATACTTATATTATTGAACATTTCACTGTAATAGCTTTATTTTTTATTTTATCGCTTTATTTAGAGCCACAGCAGACATATTGTCTGGATATATCCCCAGATGGACGGGAGTTGACAACTGGTGGCTCTGATCATGTTATTAGAATTTACAATTTACATCCTTCATGCGTGACTGGTTTCCCTAGCGATCAAGATCTGCAACCACTTAAGTGCGATGCTGCGGAGAAACAAGGTAAGCATTTTTATCAATTTGCTTGGTAAAAAATGACTATATTTACTTTGATCTCTTTCTCTCAACTGTCGTGTTTACATAGAGACGCAACCTGTACTGCCCCAGCTTCCACTGTAGTCATCTCTACTTACAGCGTTGAAATGTTGTTGAAGAACACTCCTAATACGTATCGTCTATATGCCTACAAAGTGTGAGTCGAAGAACTTTAGAAAAAATCTGAGTGAGAAAGGGAAAAATTATTTTTGGCTTGGGTATGTTTCGAATCTATGAGTGATTCTTGAATGAAAACTTTATTCATCCTAGGCCGCCTAAGATGATTAAAGGACTGATAGGGGAATTTTCCTCACTGGGCCTCCCTAGGCCAGTGAATTTCACCTAAACTTGCCTACCAAAAAGCCTTATCATTCAGTGCGGATGGTAGTTTTAACCTTACCTGGGACATATTAGACGCCGAACAGGATTTATCCACATGAAGCGGTGACATGTCACCATTATTCCAGAAGGACTCAGAGCAGTTGTGACCTTTAAGACAAACAAGGCATCTTCCAAATCACATTTATAATGGATATGTCGATGAGGCATACATTTAGTTGCCATTAAAATCTTCTGCGTTACTTATTTTCGGCGTGAATATTTTTCGAATCCATCCATTCCCCCTATGTCGCTTAAGTTAATTTGATGTCGATTTTAACAGAAAATGCATGATTTCCTCATCGACAAGTTTACTATCGACAAAAGTTGGGTTAGACCCGGCTTGCCCTGTGACACATTGGCACCCATGGATTTGTGATTTAGCGCTAGCATGTCATCAAGATGCACACGAACAGGTTTATAATCCTGTTGGGGATGCTGATAAGACCCAGCCACGCTCGAAACTGCAGTCAACCCTAGATGAGAAATGCTATTGGAGGCAGGGCTAAGTGAGCCCTACTTTTTTCATTACGAGAAATCCCACAATTAGCCCTTTAATCCCCTTAGGCAACCTAGGAAAAAATTAGATGAACTTGGTGAATTGCAGGAATCGGACTTCCAACTAACGGGTGTCACGAACACTGGAAAGGGAGAGATGCTATGGGGGAAGGAGAACGCTTTTGATAAGTACAAGATTAAAGACTATAGTATATGAATTTGCCAATGCCTTTTTGTCTGATGCAGTGTTACTAAGAATTCTGTACCTAATGCATAATTTTAACATAATTTGCCTACTTAACGAAATGTCTCTCCTCATTGGAACTTACCTCCCCCCCACGCACAAATGCACCTTGAAGTGAAAGAAGTCAGGTTATTCGTGAAAAGGATTGGTTATGACGAATGCGAAAGGTGTAATAAATCATTCTATCTAATGCTATATACGCAAAGTGAAACTGGTATATAAGGCAATGTACAATGTCTTCTATTAAAGTAGGACAGGAATGATACTCAGGCTAAGCCCTAATTCGGTCAAAGAGCTAGGCTTCAAGGTTGAGATAGTCGGATGAGAGCGCGAGGTTTGCGTACAGGCGTGTATTACGTGTGATGTCTCTAAAACATGCTGAAATGAAATCAATATAATGCCCTAATGCATGTGAATCCTGTGAACACGTTCAAACAATATAATTTGACCTGAGACCAACCTGCATAGTTTATTTTCTCGATTGAATAAATATGGGGCGAGTACTAGGCTAATTATAAGTTGTATCCACAATGAGGAATGGTAGTTGAATTTTCCCACAATAATTTAAGTAGGCCTCAAGATACTATTGGATTAAATTTATACTTTCTTCAAAATAAGGGAATATTGCCTTTTCGACGTCGCCTGAATCTTGTAAGCACCAATATCAGGATTCAAAACCGGGTGATGAGCATCGTTACGACACTAACATTCTGCTACATAGCCACGAGTGCCAGAGGATCATAAGACAGTTGTGAATTTTAGGCAAGCTATATTGTATTTATTATGGGACTTTCAATGAAGCAGATATTTATTTATTATTACGATTAATGTCGTTACTTATTTCCTGTGCGAATATGCTTCGAAGCTATCAGTATTTCTTGAACTTCTCAATCATTCCTTTAATCACCTTAAGCGACCTAGGGTTATTAATTTCTTCAATAAGAACTTTATGAGTAGTTTTTCCTGCTAGCAATAGATTAATAGGAACTTTAATAAGTTCGTTGCTTGTTGTACTGTTTTTCAAATATTTTTGAACTGGACTTACTATATTCAAACGGAATATGTTTCGAAACTTTCAATGGCATCATGAGGCATTCTTATATAATTGTGGGAAAATGCAACTATCAATGCTTCATCGCTTATGTGACCTAGAGTGAATATAGCTCTTGATTTACTACTATGAATATTGCCATATGTAGTATGCAAAGTGAACGGTAATGCACACATTTTCACAGGTTAATCATCCACTCATGCTACATCTTTTAATACAACAAAGTATTATTTGCCAGACTAAAAAGGACGTACACATGTTATTCATCCCCACATACTTACATCGACCTAACTCTCAATAAGTTTACTAGTATCCATATGCTTTCATCTTTAAGGATCAAATAACGACATTTGGTCCTAAGTGCACCATAAGCATTGGCTTCATCTTATCATCCTAGCTAATAGTAGAATAAATATACACACAAGCTATCAGTCCTTCACCACCTTATGCAACTTAAGGGGACTAAAACTCTTATTCCACGTCTACTGATAGCCTCGAAGGATACTCACCATGAATATACTTGAGCAATTTTCCGTTTGTAAGTATGGTTTTCGACAATCATCGATTACCTCACCCTAGAGAAGTCTGTCATTTTGTGAAATTAACGTCTACCAGATGATCTAGGGGCGCTCATGGTAGTGTGGCATAATGACTAACTTGCCGAGACTCTACGCTGGAGATGTTGATAAGGTTGAAATTGCAGTCCACCCTGGATGAAAATGCCTTTTGGGAAGCAAGGTTATGTGAAATTCAATGGAAATATGAGGCCTACTCATAGCATTGTGTGCAAATTCATCTTCCAATCCTTCGTCATCATAACTGAAATAGAGTGAATATAGCTCTTTTATACTCTATATATACTTATAGAATTTAAGTAAAAGGGAATATATTCCAAGAGTCTTTACTAAACTCCTATTCCAGTGGACCTTTATATAATGATGCCTCTCTCATGGCGAATGGAAAGCCAAATGACATGCTACCGAGGCCTGCCTTACTCTGATTATCGAGAAAAATAGTGCATTTCAACTTAAATCATAGACAATATTTTGGTGTAGTCTGACGTTTCCCTTAAGATGACAACATTATATGAAATTGGAATGGCGATGTGGCGCCATAATGACTCATTGAAATCCACTTTTCTAAAACCTACGCTTACAGATCTGCTTACGTGGGTGGCCTAAATATGAGGACCTGATTAGAGTTGTTTAATATAACATCAAATTTCCTCAACTCTTTTCAGTCTTATATTTCCTCTTTCATCCTCCATTCTTTTCGCTTTCTTTATTATTTCTTGTTTTTCATATCCCAGCTCGTCTGTCAACTGGCTCACTGATTTCAAACAGTTGTAACCCTTATCGTTTGCCACCAGGACCTGCAACCTTTCTAGGCGGTCGGCCAGACCAGCTCCTAGATTCATCCTCACGTATCTATTCCTCCCCTTTAAACGACTGCTTTTCTAATCGCTCGCCTGGCGGAATTGGCCACTACGTGGACCCCTGTTGGCCTGAACCAGTGGCCTATGCACCGGGCGGAGGAGCGTCTGGGAGACGGACTGGTGGCGCAGGGATGTGTGGTGCTGCATTACTACCTTATAAAGCCACGGGGCCTGCAGACAATCTCACTAATGGGCACTCGATGCGTATAACTTGTTTACGCTATCATCCAACCCGAGCAAACCTCTTAGTCAGTGCAGGATGGGACAATATGGTCAAGGTGAGCAATGCATCAAAATCTTGTAGCTCAGCCAGAAATAATGCCGGTACTAATATGCTTTGGTTGTCTATGAACATACCTCAACAAATATACTGGCTATAAGACCACAAAACTAGTATTTCCGCGCCTAGCCGTGCATCGATACCTTCACGTGGTAGAGAGGAATGGAAATGATAAGGTTATCGGTGGGATCGAGTTGTGGCCACAATCGCTACCAGCATTAATAATAATGACTTAACCAAGTTTTCTATACTCTTCGTCTATTAACCATACTTAATTATTTCCATTTATATCCTTGTTAAGTAAATCGATAACAAGACTAGATTCCGACAGAAAGTAAAGTATTTGTAAATTCCCTCAAATTCCCATGCCTACGTATTTAGTTTTTAGCGTTTGCGTTTACTCTGCATTATCAACCAATTCCTTTACTAATCCTTTACTTGATAGGTTTATCTTTGCAAGAACACACAAATCTTGTATAGCCGAGTCTAGCAAACAATATGCTTCATGTGTCATTCCAAATACTTGTAATTTAACATACCTTTTACTAGCTTTATCAATATTGTGACTCGTATTCATTTAAAGATTGGATCTTTGGAAATGCAGTGTACATTTTCAGTTTATAAGTAGGTTTTCGGGACTACCAGTATATCTGATATAAGAGCTGTATTCACCCTATTTCGCTTAAGGCGATGAAGGATTGGTAGCTAAATTTTCTCACGTTGCTATGAGTATGCCTTATGTTTCCATTGAATTTCACATAGCCTTACTCCTCAAAAGGTATTTTTATCCAGGCTAGATTGGACTAGAGTTTCGACCTCGCCTGGACTGGCTCATCAGCTTCCTTAGCAGGACTCGAACCAATGTAATGTAGCGTAGCGTATCGGCACTCGTGTTGGTATAACAAATATAAATTGGCTTCGCCGATAATCCCATCACAGAATTGTGATATGAAAAATACCTAGGCTTCCTTGAAATTCACTTTTTCCTTGTCACTCAAGGGCACTCAGAGTAGTATATCTTAGTAGTTAACGTATATAGACTATAAGCGGTTCTACCCGGGTTCGAGTCCTGCTAGGTGTGCGAATGAGACCTAGGCAAGGGGAAAACCGCAGTCCAGTCTAGATGAGAATACATTTTTGGAATCAAGGCTATGGGAAATTCAATGGGAACATCAGATCTACTCATATTACCAAAATGAACTTCACTTACCATTCCTTCATCCTCTTAAATGAATTAAGGGGAACACAGCTCTTAATAGAGTGCAAATGCGAAATCCTTCTTCGCATTTTTCCTAAGCCTGGAGTATAAAGTGTCTGATAATTGCACTGGCTAGATCATTCTTATTCTTTTATATACCTACTTACTTGTCAGTTACTGGTTCAAAAGATATTACTATCTTAATCCATAACTTGCACCATTAAGCAATACCTTTATTTTTAAACATTTGGAATCCGCACATTTTCCTCTACATTTTGTTTGTATCCCCTATTCAGATATGGGACACAAGATTGCGCGATGGTCCAATGTGGCAAATTTATGGCCCCCATGTAGCCAGTCCAGATGGTCTGGACATTGACGACAACTACCTCTTAACTGCTTCCTGGCGAGCAAGTAACAGTCTCGAGGTATGATATATGAGCTGAACTATTGATATTATCCATTACTTTTAGATTTTATCTCGTCTGAGGTTTCTTCCCTCATTGAAAGGGCAATGTCCTCAATTTTGACAGGGTAGGCCCATTTAGTTTTTAAGGGCTACCTGGTGTCTCGCAAACAGGATATTGCTCCTCTATATCTTACATGATGGTATGCATGAATAAAGTGCAGAGGGATACATACTAAAAAAAGCTGGTATTAGCGGATTTTCCAAAGCAAGAATGTTGCGGAGAATCTCATTTCATATAAAAGGGTGTTATGAATGGATTTATAAATCGATCTCACCAGAAGACGACGTTCAATTTGACGCTGTCCACGAAACACTTCTTCATTTCAATTGAAAATGATCTGAGCTTTCTTTTGTCGTATGACAAACATCTTCAGAGCTAGGAATCATTCTTTTAAAAGTATCTCATTAACATTAAGTCAAGAAGTCCATAAGTAACTCATGCTGAATTGATGAGACATGAGACTATACGTGTGAAATTCAGGATATGAAACCACTAGTCAGGAACCGTTAGTCTGGGGTCATTAAGATTTAATGACCCAAAGAGAAGCATAATTGGGACACGAATAGCATAGAACTGGAGGTGATTCCTCACTTTGAACAGGCAATTACGTCAAAAATGTCTTGCATTCTAAGTAGGGTATCTAGATATTTATGTCTTATAAACATATTTTTATGAAATCTGACAAAGGTAAAGCAGTGACAGTCTTGGATGCGTCAAGTTATTTTTAAAGGTGCTAGTGCATTTAAATGGCATTGATACTTATAAGCTTTAAATGAAAGATCCTAGAGAGGGACTTTGGACTGAATAATGCCCTCAAGTTATATGTAAGTAGCGGAGAAATATCGAAATGGAAAAGGAATTCCCTAATTAGAAGAGACGCTAAGGCAACCTTGGCTTATGGCTTTCCGAAGGTGCATAAAGAGGTGATTCCTATTAGATCTAAGCTGTGTTATGCCTTTTAGACAGACAATAAAAAAATTGACAGAATTTTGGCTATTTTTGGTTAAGAACTCTTATGAATTTGTCACATTAGTGGACCAGCAGAGAACTTCGGAGGAGGAAAACATACTAGTAAGTTTGGATATAGTATCGATGTCCTAAAATATTCCATTTCAGGGAATAATGCTCATCCTGGACGAGCATTTTGATATTATGGAAGATATTGCGTTAAGAATAGCCTTAAATCTAAGACTTTATAGTGACTTTTACTCCATAATCTGTTTGGCTGAATCTCTCACGATTACCTCTCAACTCATGTAACACCAAACGGAGAATGACTCACCGACGGTGTCCCGAGCTGACTAAGCGAGCCTATTCTCCGCATCGAGCCTCTCCGTTGAACCGATCAGAACGT